AGGGCATACGGGTTCAGTCAACACCCCTATAGTCTCGAAAATGCTCTCATAGTCCAACACCTCCAGGACCTTCCAACTACCCTCTATGATGGTTTAAAGGCGCAGGATTAAGGGCCCTATACCCCAAACCCTCAAAGCCTTCCGTTTAAGGGTACCTGGAGAAAATGGGTTTCTGGGTTGTGTAGCACACGGAAAGGTTGGAAGGCTCATGTCCTGAATCCAGAACCCTAAACCCGGAAACCCTGAACCCTAAACCACGAAACCCGCAATAGTCCTAATCTCCTGACTGGATCATCTGATCGGAGGTTTTCCAAAGAGCTTACTCGGGTTTAGAATCGGTTTAGGCCTAAGGGTGTACATCCACGTGCTTAACACTCTAGTCTATAAGTGATGGCATTCAAGCGGAGGTCCAATGGATGTGCCCCGACAAACGCCTGACGGTCCCATCTATGGAGCTCTACCTGGACCGCCAAATGATGTAGAATAATGGCCTTTTGGGCTGTTGGTAGGTGTTTTGGACCATTATTTTACCTACTTTTGGGGCTTAGGTAGACTAATTTACTACTGGGCGGAAAGTACACTCGTGATCCCTACTTGGAGGTCCGTTTTACTTATAACCTACTTAATAACTGTAGTTATAACCCTATTATACCTAGGGTAACTGTAGTTATGGGACTTATACTTAGGTTATAACTACACTTACTAATTAGGTTATAAGTACAACGGACCTCCAAGTATGAGCCCTACAACAACCCAGTATTAAGCTACCTACTAAGTACCTCTGACCGTCCATGTAGTTCTACCTCATCTGATACAAATGAACCCGTACCCTAAATCCACACCCAAATCCCGAGTTGCTTTGAGCACCCTCAGTTGATGTGGTAGTTTCCATACACAGAGGGTCCCAAATATACCCTAAACCTTATAAAACCTAAACCAACAATCCTTACCATGGGGACCCTCAAAGGGTCCCCCAATTTTGGGAAACCTCCCATGTTCTCGGCGTTTTGGGAAGCTGCCTATCACTTGTAGGGCTCCTCGAGGTTTACGATGCCACGTGGTTTAGGGTTAAGGGTCTAAGGGTCTAGGGTTAAGGGTTTAAGACGTTTAGGAGCTACACTGACTTGGGTGCAGACACCATGTCCAAGTAGGTACATAGGTCGGTGGTTCTCGAAAATCCCCAAACCTTAAACGTTATAACCGTAAAACCCTGAACCCTCACCCCTAAATCCTAGACTCCAATTCCTGAAACATAAACCCGAATCCCTAAACCCTAAATCCTCAGCTGCAGTCGGTTATGGGCATATTGTATGATCAAAAGCTGGATCTAGCATGTAAGACCACCTAATCCCAACCCTAAACGCTAAACGCTAAAGCCTAAACCCTAAACCCGAGGTTTAGGGTTTCTGGCTGCGTTGTGCGGAATGGGGCCCCATACATAGCTCAATATATGTCCCCCTTAAGTAGATAGAATATGGGGTAAAGGGGGATCTTGTAATAATATACTCAAAGCTATATTCTACCCACTTAAGGGGGACTATGTCCCTGTTTAAGGACCTCTGCGGCGAAGACCACTGTAATTTGGAAAGTGAAAGCTGTGTACAACCTATATACCCCCTTTAGGGTTTAGGGTTTGGGCCCTTAGGGTTTAGGGTTTCGGCCCTAAACTCCAAACCCAAAAACAACCAAGCACGTGGCTTTGTTTTGACAGGCATCAGCACTAAGCCCGCGGAGCGTTGATACGCAGAGCTGGTCATCCCTCCATCCGAACCCCCCCCCACCGCCCGCAGGGTTTACGCTGAAGAGGGGAGGGTTTAGGGTTTAGGGTTTAGGGTAATATACTCCTCATATCCTAGGTTACGATATCTATTAGAGAGGGCTAGGGTGTACATATATAGGGATAATGAATGGTAAATAAAATGGAAACTGCAAGGATTATAGGGTTGTATAGGGGCTATGTAGGGATTATATAGGGTTATATATATATGTATGTATGATATGATATGTTCTCATGCCGTATATTTTGGCATTTATTAGCGGGTGGGTGGGTGGGGGGGTAATTGCTAGCGGAAGGGGACTACCAGGCTTTGTGTTGCCAGCTGTACATGGCAAGCTGCAGCCCCAGACTCGCAACAGCCTCAGTCAGGGTTTAGGGCTTAGGGTTTTAGAGTTTAGGGTTTAGGGCTTAGGGTTTAGGACTGAAAAACGGGAATTTACAGCATGGAGACACTTCTAGATTCCTATTTTCACACATTTCCACATTACCCTACAATCCTGATATTCACTTCCATGCCCAAAACCCTAAACCCCAAGCCACTAGTAACCCTCATGAGCTTCAACTCGGCAGCGAGCAGACCAAGCGAGTTGGAAAATGATGCCTGAGCTGCATACCCTCAGAGTCCATGTGATCAAAAATTGGGTACTTAGGGCCTTGGTTCTAGGAATGTAGGTTCGGATAAGTATATGGGTTGTTCCTCAAATTATGGGCCCCTTCTAGCTATAGATTGTATTACGTCACCTAAAAAATTTGAGGGGTGCCAAAATGGGACCCTAATTTTGGGAACGACCCATATTTATTGTTGGTCACTTGGGCCCGAGGGATAGCTGCATTTCACACAGGACACAACACAACTGGGACTCTCTTGGAGTATAAGCCGGAATTGAGGGGACACAATGCTTACGCAACGCATCAACCCTGCTGCTATTATCAAACACCCTAAACTCTAAGCCCCTAAACCCATGGGAGTACAACATATCAGGACAGGGTTGCCCTTCTAACAAGGGGAAAGGATTTTTCCACAAAGGCTCTGCCCCAAAGGCTGAAGTACCTTCTTGCCCCCCAAATCATGGGTTTCATTGCAGGATGCCCTATGTTTCTTGTTAGTTGGTTCAAGCGTATTTGTCTTGGTGGTTGAAAAGACTTCACAGTATCCCGATTTACTGGGAACATCTAGGGAACCCTGTACCTACTTACTAGACAAAGACCCTAAACGGCAGGCTCAGACTATTGAGCTTGCTCATTTTGAATTCTTCCCCCCCAGTACCTGGAGCATCATCCGCTGGTAGTTTCCTGTAGGACTGTCCTGTCGGAAAGTAATGCTACCAAGCGCCACCAACCTTAAGAAGCCAGTATAGTCTTAGGAAGTTATCAATGATCAATGCACAGAATAGGGCCATGGGGAAGCTACGTCGTTCAAACTTCAGACCCTCTATGGGGGCTCTACAAAGACGGGGAGGCATAGGGACTTCCTGGGTATATGGGGAATATGAGCCATAGTCTAAACTCCTTGTATCCACCTAATAACATGTATAATTCTCACGTATATAACTCCCTACATAACCCACCTTCACGGAGTTTAGACTAGAGCTCATATGGAGAATACAAGGGGGCTTACGGTGGCCCCCTCGGGGGCTCCCGGAATGATCAAAAGATGGCGGCTGGATGAATAGCGTTCCTGTAGCTCAAAAGACCCTAAGGGTCCAAGGACACAAATAATAGGGCTTCAGGGCCCAAATACCAAAAATATTATGGTATTTAGGCCCTAAAACCCTATTATTTGGGTCCTTGGACGCGTAGGAAGAGCTTTACAGCATTGTAGGTACACAAGACCACCAATTAAGGGTCTATCTCTGACAGGGAATGAAGAAACTCCTTTAAAAAAAACACCTCCTGGGACCGCCCTGCGCTTTGATTCTACAACTTCTCACAATAAGTGGTCCAACGGCGCACATAGCACGTCTCAGGTTAGGACAGCAGTTATTCGTGACCACTGGGACAAAAAGGTCCATCCATTAGGGCCCAGACTTGGGAAACTCCTATTAAGAACTAATAAAAAAGAACCCCTAACCCTAAACCCTAAACCCCAAACCCCTAAACCCTAAACCCCTAGCCATAGGAGGGGCTCTTTTGGCAGGTTACATGGCGGTTTCCTGAAATTAGGGGTACCATTTTGGGGGTCCCTATACTCAGGATTATCGTATTTTGGGATCTATATTGGGGTTCCCTTATTTTGGGAAACTACCACATGGATTTGCCGGATACTGCTTCATCCCCGACTGAATAATTTCACTCCCGAGGTTGGTAGTCGTAGGTAGTAGTACCTAAACCCCAAAAGTATGTAAAAGAATAGCCCTAAACCCAGAATAATAGCCATAAAGGCCATTATTTTACATACTTTTGGGGTTTAGGTAGTGGTTATAACCCATATTCTATCTACTTAAGGGTTCTAAGCATTTTGTACGCTAGCCACCGACACAACAAGCACTCCTACACTGCAA